GCTATATTTTCCGCATTTTACAACATTTTGCAACGAAACTTTGGAATATTACTAATTTTGTGATGCTCCTTCAAGCTGTGATGAATTTTTTGTCTAGACTTGTTTAGTTCAAAATTTAGTCTATTACGCAAATGGTCAATTGACATTCCAGTATATTTCGTATCGTATAATGTTCAGGTAAGAGCATAATTAACTTTTTTCAACGAGAAAAAACTAGCAAAAAACAAGTCTCGATCAAAATATCTCGGTCTTTGAGAGTTCGATACGTGTGTTGATCTGATTTAAATTGTGTATTTTGATTGTCAGGATATCAACCCATTAAGTACAAACTGAACTTGCCAAGCAGAGAGTCTTGCCACTGAAATATATTCCCGGCAAATAGTTTTGTTCGCTTTATAGGATATCACAATCTGTGGGCCGACCGCTCCTTCAATTTCAAAATCAAATAAAAGTTTTTCAAAAGCTCAATCGTACTTCTTATGTGAATAGAAAATAAAACTTACTGTTATTGTTGAAAAATTTTGTCCAGATATGAAGCTCGAAAGCGTCTTTTCCTTAAAAATGCCACTTTTTGCATTTCGAACTGCGTTTTCCCTATAGTTTTGACTGAGAACGCAGCGACGGTACTGGCTGCGGCATATTAAATTTTTTTTTAAATATTTAATTTGCTTTTGATGGCGTGTAAATGGCGTCAGCTTCGCAAATCTGTGTGACGTCCTAAACACTGCATTTTTCACCGAGTGAACCCTCTTTATATCTTTACTCTTTGTTACGGATGTCACGATTTGTCATCATATTTCTAGCTTACGTTTCCAGTCCCTGTCTTCTGGATTGTCTATGGTGGAAACACCACGTAACTTTATCACAAAAACTCCCCAACTATATAAACTGCAAGTAACTACAAAAAAATATCACTAACTTCGGAGAAGAAAGCGGTAACAGCCACTCTTTGGTTATCATAAGCGCTCGACATTACTGGTGTGAATGTATTTATCAACTCACGAACATGATGTGCTTGAGTCTTGCATATGCCTCTACAAGATTGAACACAAAATAATTTACGACATTGTAAACAAGCGCATGCAATGGATTCGCAGATTCGATTCCTGCCAAAGGGCGTGCAGCTGCATTTATCGCAATCGCTCTCCAAAACTCAGTCAATGCACAGCTCTCATCCCCCACTGCTCTGAAAATATAAACTGGCCTACTAAACGAGCCTACATCCATCCCTGATCTAGTCCTAGAAAGTCAACCATAAAGTCGCGTACCTAGCAACACCACATACAGCTTCTGGAAAGGTTTCAACATCGTCAAATAAACTCCAAATTCCTTCGCTATCAAGAAACTCAGATAACTCCAAACTTTGACTTCGGATCAGGAATATTTTCATAGTTGCCAACGCTGACCTATATAGCAAATACAGTTATATTTAGTATGACCGAGGTTATAATCTCATGTTCTGTATATATATACCCTTTCATCGTGACGTCAGATACAGTAACTACAGTTATATACAAAAATTATATAATGTGACGTCATAGTAAGGATATTTTGCAAACCAAAAATTGTTAAAATCTCAAGAACGAAGCAAGTTGAGAGAGTTCGGCAAAATATCTTATTCGTTCATTTTGAAGTTCTTTACAATAATAATAATAATAATATTAATAATAATAATGAAATAAACTTTATCTTTATTAGTTACCGGATTGGGTTGCTGTGGCCCCTGAGCCCGCGTTAGTCATTGGTCATTTTAGTGTCGGCCATTTTGTACATTGTAAAACGTATTAAGTTTATAGCTGGATTTAAGTAGGATAAAGCCATGCAAATAGTATGTTTTTCATTTCTATGATTACTTCATGATTACAACAAATAATTAATAATAATTTTATAATAGTTTTGTTTGTGGAGACACCACGTAAATTTATTACTGCATATTATTAGCACTGATATAGCCTGCGAACAGGCTCTCTTTGAACTCTCTTTGAAATTTGAGAGAGAGCCTGCAGGCCTAGCTAATAAAAACGCGACTGTGCGTTGCTTAGAACGACGCAGGGTTCCCATTGGTTGAAATTGAGCAGTTGGTTATTAACTGCCATAAAAGGTAATGAAATTTACACAACAATTGATTCAAGGTGTCAACACAAAGTGCGAAAATCGAAAAATATCGTTCTATAGCGATAAAAAATGTATTAGACGAGTTGTATAGAAAACTAAATTTTTGTTTAAAGTTAAAGGATGGGCAGTCAAAAGCGCTTAACAATATTCTAGACGGAAACGATGTTTTTGCTGTATAAGAGAGTTTGGCAAATACAACGGCAACGTTCTTATATCAATCTAGTACGCAGTAGTTGTTCAAACTCAAGTCGTTGCGGTGTTTATGTGAATTCACTTACTATTGCTACTTCAGGGAATTTCAGGGTTGTTTGAAAGAAAGACAAGTGCTTTTAAAAGTTTAGTAATGTATGTTTTCGCTCAAATACAAAAGTATAAGTAATTTTGTTTTCTGTCGTCGCCTTTGTTGGTTGCCAAACTCACTAATGACACTAGTATTATTCATTTGTCCTCTAATTACTATTATAGACCAAATGTAAGAAGCTATGAGCTCGTTTGCATTAGTGACGAACCGAACATAGAGGACTAAAATCGGGGAAATTTCATTTGATATTTGGATCGGCCGAAAACGTTCTTGACGAGTGTTCAGTTGACGCTTTAAAATATTCAAGTTGTCATTTGCGTAATCGTTTGGTTGCTTTTATTATAGACGAGTCTCACGTCATTGAGACGTGGACTGGAGAAAGGAAAATACAAATTCAAAATGCACATTTTATTTTTATGCATGTCTCGCATAATCTTTCAGACCATTCTGGACCTCTCTCACAAACAATCCCGATATTTTGCAAAAGAACTTCAAAACTATCTTGCCCTACTGTTGGCTTGAGCAAGTTCACTATTGAAACGGACTTTCGTGTATCTCCGCATGTTACTTTTAAAGAAGCATTGCAACAACGGCAAAATTCGTTCACATATTCAGCGTTTTTTTGCGTGTAAATGTTTTTGTAGTTTCTTTCCAACTTGACATTACAGACTTGTTGTAAACAATCATGCGTTGAAATCGAGATTTGCGTTTTGTTTACATATATTCGCAGGCTATTACATAAGGCGTGTCTGTATTAATTTGTTACATTGCATTTTACATTTGATTGACAACACTATAAATAGTGATGGGCACAGACGTATTTTTATTGACTAAACCGGCAGGCTCTAATTCAATTCAAAGAGCCTGTTCGCAGGCTAGCACTGATGAAGATCCGGGCTTACGGATCGAAAGCTTTGCAGTAATAAATTTACGTGGTGTTTCCAGAAACAAAACTATTATATGTTTTATCGCCATCCAAACATACAAAGAACTTATAACAATAATTTTCTTTTTACAAAAAAGCAACAGAGGAGTTAGAGAAACACTGGACTAACAAGAGAATGTATGGACAATCCAAGAGAGATTTAGATAAAAAAGCAACAGAGGAGTTAGAGAAACACTGGACTAACAAGAGAATATATGGACAATCCAAGAGAGATTTATATAAAGAAATGGATGTGGAAAACACATAGCGGTGGTTGAAGAAAGGAAACTTGAAACCCGAGACTGAAGCACTTTTGTGCGCACACGAACCACCCCCGCCCCCCCCCCCCCCCCCCCCCCCCCCC